TTTATTAGGCTATCTGTTGCCTGTGTTGTTACTGTTGTCATATTGTGTGTGATTTTAATTTTAAAACCCATTTTTGGTTAATTTAACCCAGCAGTAGGCCTATAGTAAATTGCAACCAAAAATAAAGCAGTCCACCATGTTTATTTATACATTACCTTATATATAACTTATTACACAAACGTAACACATTGTTCCCTTATACCTACACGTATGTTCTTTATAGGTACACTATAATTACAGAAACGTACACCGTAAATTCAGTATACTTACATAGTTCTTTGCGGGTTGTAATCTAAAGCGTTACCAATTTTTTTTTTTTTTATCACCCTGTGGTATTTCATGATAATAAACAGCTGCCTGTACATATTCCTGACTGTGCATTATTGGGGGGTGGGGGGATTGTTCTCTTTCTGCAGGTTATATATTTGCGCCAGTAGGTGATGACTGTTTTAAAATTGAGATAAAAATTGAGATTATGAGATTATTATGACATAGAAATGTATTAAGACATGCTTTTGACTCTGTCATAATCTTTGTCTCATAATTTAAACGTTTTTTGACTTTTGTGTTATTTGTATTATTTTATTATTTGTATATTATCGTAATTATTACATTTGTTTTGTCATAATTTCGGCTTTTGTGTCAAAATTATGACTTTATGTCAGTTTCAAATATGTCATATTATAAAATGTTATAAAATAATTTAGATTTTGTCATATTTTTGACTTTCCCATATCATAACTTTGACTTTTAATATCATAATTATGATTTGCCTAGGCATACAAAATTAAGGTAAGTTAATGCTCAATATTAACTTATTGTTTATTGAGCTGTTTTATAGAAGCAATTAAAACTGTTCTGAATGCATATACATGTAACTCAATGTACTTCCACCGCAGAACATGACCAGATAACCATGGTATTTCTGTTGTTCCATCTCGGAAACGTTTTCTTAGAATGAATAGTTTATGCAACAGTGACGCAGTAGTGAATAGTTACTTATTTGTATTTTATAAACGTTTTACCTTTTCTTTCTGTGATAGTGTAAAAATCCTCTCCAAATGCTGGAGCTGGCCATGTTTAATAGAAGATTACTAAAAAACACAGCTTATATGTTCCTAAATACATAATCATAATACAATAATATATTTGATACTTTATATAAGAGTTATTAAAAAAACAACAACACAGACCCATTTTTATTATATATTTATTTTTTTTACGTTGTCATTATTTT